AGGACTCAGAGGCCATCCGCAGCCAGTATGCTCACTACTTTGATCTCTCACTGGTCAACAATGGCGTTGATGAAACTCTCCAGAAATTGCAAGAAGCCTTTAACCTGGCATGCAGCTCCCCACAGTGGGTACCTGTCTCCTGGGTGTACTAAGCTTGCAGAATGCAGCAAAACTACTATGTTCTGATCTGCACACAACCATGTCCCACTCCAGAGTCTGGAACTCCATTTCTCTTGCTCTAAGACAAACTGGGTCATTCTACCCAGCTTTACGTGTCAGTGTCCAGCTCTCTGCACTTAACCCTAATTAGATCAGTAGGACCCAGTTGTCTTCAAGCTTCTGAAGGGCTGAAATATTTTCCTCAGATGGGACCCCACTGGTCTAGATTTCAAAAGGATTTTCTTGGGGTCAGGAATACTATATGCCAGTGCTGATCAAATTGTGGGCAGTGGGTAGAAAGCAGTGAACCCTTATCTTCTTACAATCTGTGCTCTTTCACCTTCAGTTACACTAAAATGCCAAAATGATTCCTGTGCAATAGAGAAACCTGCAAAAGCAATAAAAATGTGCTGTATTAAAATTCCACTGTCCTTTTAACTTAATGTTTCCACCTGATGCTTCATAGTTTAATATTCTGCCTCTAGCTGAGACAGAATTCTTGAATCCAAAGATCAACAACTGTATTACGAAGGGCCTTTCAGGAATGAGAGTGTGTGCACGCATCGATGTGCAGGACCTGTTTCAAGAATAGGGGTAGGAGTGTGTGTAAAATCAGGCATTCCATTTACAGCCACATTTTTGTCACCAAGACTGTTTTCCAACTACTAGTCCTTGTTTCCAATCTTGATTGCATGTTTGGTCAATTTCAGACTGAAAAAGGTGGTGGTGGTTGTTTCATAGCAACCCTATGAAGGAAAGACCTGAACACTTATATACCTGTCCTCATTTTTCCAAGTTCATAGTTAGTAGAAATCCTCAATTTCATCTTGGACTTTAGTGATTGGTGAGGATATTTTATAACAGTTGTATGAACAAGACTTCCTTGTATGTGTATGCGTGGTGCCACAGATAGCACTGTACCTCAGGATAGGTCTTCACAGAGTCACTGTGTCAAAAAGAACTGGTTGGCAAGCGTATCATATAATTGAGAACCAATGATAATAGAGGAAGATGTTCAACTACACTGAAGGTACTGGAAAGAAAATAAGGCCTCAGGAATTAATGGAACACCATCTGAGGTGTTTCAGGAAACAGATGCAGCCCTGGATATGTTCACTAGTCAATGGCAAGAAATTTGGAAGATAGCTTCCTGGCCAATGACTGGAAGAGATCCATATTTGTTACTTATCCCAAAAAGGTGATCTAACAAAATAAGGAAATTATTAACCAATATCATTAATATCACATGCAATTAAAATCTTGCTGAGGATTATGCAAAAATAGCTGGAACAGGACATCAACAGGAGCCTTTCAGAAAATCAAGATGGATTCAGAAGAGGCTGTAGAATGAAGGAAACCTATTTCAGAAGTATCTTGCCTGAAGGCAGAGAAAAATAGAAGTTTGTGTTTTAATGATTATGCAAAGGCATTTCACTGCTTGGATCATTACAAATTATGGCTAACACTCAACAGGAAAATGCTGGGGGTTCACATCCCTCAGTGGCTCTGTAGGAAAAAGATGGGCTCTCTCTCGTGTGATTTTTCAGCCTCTGAAAACCTGCGGGAATGTCAGCTGTGGGTCAGTTCCAAATTGACAGCCATGAGTTTGAGTTTTTGTCATTCTGTCTGCTAAGCAAGTCATCCAAGAAGCTGGACTACATGAAAAATGTGGCATCAAGATTGGAAGAAGACTCCCTTTCTACAAAGATGGCACCAAAAGTGAAGAAGGAAGCCCCTGCCCCTCCTGAAACTGAAGCCAAAGCAAAGGCATTAAAGGCCAAGAAAGCAGTCCTGAAGGGCATCACAGCCAAAAAAAAAAGAAGATCCACACGTCACCCACGTTCCGGCGGCCTAAGGCGCTGAGACTCCGACGGCAGCCCAAATACCCCCGGAAGAGCGCCCCGAGGAGAAACAAGCTTGACCACTGTGCCATCATCAAATTTCCCCTGACCACTGAGTCAGCCATGCAGAAGATAGAAGATAATAACACACCTGTGTTCACTGTGGATGTCAAGGCCAACAAGCACCAAATTAAACAAGCTGTAAAGAAGTTCTGTGACATTGATGTGGCTAAGGTCAACACCTTGATTAGGCCTGGAGAGAAGAAGGCCTATGTTCAACTTGCTCCTGATTATGATGCTTTGGATGTTGCTAAAAAAAATTGGGATCATCTAAACTGTGTCCAGCTGGCTAATTCTAAATTTTTCTCACAAAAAAAAAAAAAAAGATTGGAAGAAGGATCATCAACAACCTGTCAAGCGGATGACCCAACCTTGCTTGCAGAATATGATGATGATGATGATGAAGAAGAAGCACTAACAGGAAGATAAAAACTACAGCCTTCAATATGGGTTACATCTCAACAGGAAGAAAAATCCTCACCTCTGGACAAATAGGCAGCATCAAAATAGATGGAGAAAAGATTGAAGATGTCATAGATTTCATTTCCTTGCACCAACAGCTGACACCCGTGGGAGCAGCAGAGACGTGTTGCATTGATGAAGTACGCTGTCAAGGCTAAAGAGCAAGGATGTTAGTTTAAAGACATCAAGTTGGATCTTTTCAAAACTGGAACAAGCTGTCTGGCTCTGAGTCAGGGTAAAGCTGGTGCCCATCAGAACCCACTGCCAAGACTTGGGGCTGGAGTCCACTCACTCCTAGCGACCACCTGGATCCTCAGGAGCGCAAGTGAGAGGAATCCAACAGTGGACAAGCGGGCTGAGCTCGGCCATGTGCTTTCAGTGCTGCCCACCGAGCGGCACAGATGCGTGGAGGAGCAGGGAAGGGCTGATGGCTTGAGGAGCAGGGAGTCGTGAGGACCCCCCTGGCCTGTTGACTTGGCCCCATGTGGAGGCTTGGGCTGAGTGAGGAGACAAGAGGTCTGGAATGCAGGGAGAAGGGTGGGCTCCTGAGCTTGCAGCCGATGCCCATTTAAATCCAGCCACAGACGGCTGGAGATGAGTCGAGCAGAATGCAGTCAGATGGAGAAGATGAACCATGCTGGGAGCTACGGTGGACTGTTGCAACTAGATGGCCTGCACAATGCTTATGAATGCAGATGCTGTTTCCAACTTGAACTGAGGATTCCTCCACAAAAGGAACGTGCTGGTTTCCTCAGAGTACTGGTTTGATAGGGATGGGCAAATTGGTTATCTAAAAGGGGGATCTTGGGCCTGAGGCATGAAGTAGCTAGCTTACAAGCTTTTACCAAAGTAATTATTAGGAAGATGAGTGGAAGGAGAAAACACCCCGACAATAGAAATGAATGAATGTTAATGAATGATAAAAATATTAAAAAAGAAGACATTGAGTCAGAAGGGACTCAAAGTTGATCTGCTAGCTGATTTTCAGAGACTAAGTTGAATGGGAGGAGACTGCCAGTATTTCTCCCTCAAAGCAACTAGAAGATTTAAACTGTCTGCCTTTGAGTGGAAATGTAACCCCTTACCCTCTAGGTTACTGCTGTCTGATCCAAAACTATGGAATATAGGCTGCTTAAGAGACATATGTCTGTCTTGGAGGACGTGCACAATGCTCATGTTTATTAAAGGCAAGGGTGGTGGAATTTCATTTCTCATACTATGGGCATGTCAAGGGAAAGGGATGCTGGGAAAGAGGAAGACCATCAATAAAATGGATTGATACAATGATTGTATCTCTGGCAAGGTGCTTAAGTGTCAGAGGTCACAAGGATGGTACAAGATAGGGTAGTGTTCAGATCTGTTATTCATAGGGTCGCTATGACTTGGACTCAACAGCAAATAACCGCTCCATAGTCCATATAGCAAGTTACACCGCTCACTCAAGGGCTGGCTTCTCCAGTGGTGGCATCCATGAGCATTTTGGTAGTTTTCTCCCATTATGACTTCACAGCCTCAGAACTGGCTCCAACACAGTGCAAGATGGAATAATTTCCCCTGTTTTTGCTCTGTTAGAATGATAGAATTCTGTACAATGATTTATTCATTGCAAATACTTTTTCTAATAAACATAAATGCAGTACACATGGATTTCACCACAAAAATCAGATCGATTCTATCTATGGAAAGAACCGCTGGAGAAGTTTTCTATCAGCTGTGAAAACTAGGCCAGGTGCTGACTGTGAAACAGACCACCAGCTACTTGTATGCAAGCTCAAACTGAAACTAAAGAAAATTAAATCCACGAGAACCAAAATTTGACTTTGAATCTATCCTACCCGAATTTCAAAACCATCTCAGGTACAGGTTTGAGGCCTTGAACACTAATGAGTGAAGACCTGATGAGCTGTGGGAGGATATCAAGAATATCAACCATGAAGAATGAAAAAGGTCATTACAAAGGCAGAGGAGGAAGAAAAGATCAAGATGAATGTCAGAAGAGACTCTGAATATTGCACTAGAACACCGAGAAGCCAAAGCAGAGAAACTAAATCAAGATATTGAGCTGAACAGGTTTCTAAGGGCAGCACGGGAAGACAAAAGTATTATATAGTGAAATGTGCAAAGGGCTGGAGTCAGAAAATCAAAGGGGCCAAACTCACTCAGCATTTATTAAGCTGAAGGAACTGAAGAACAAATTCAAGCCTCAAGTTGCAATACTTAAGGATGCTTTGGGCAGAATACTGAATGATCCAGGAAGCATTATAGAAGATGGAAAAAGTATAGAGTCATTATACCAAAAGAAATTGGAAGACACAGAAGAATTTCATGGAACAGCATATGTGCAAGAGCCTGTGGGATGGAGAAGTCCTTACTGCTCTGAAGGAATTGGTAAGAAAAAAAAAAATAGACCCCAGGAATTGACAGCAGACCAATTTCAACAAATAGATGCTGCCCTGGAAGCACTCACCAAGTTGTACCAACCACCTGGCCAGCTGACTCGAAGAGATCTGACAGTCTGGATATTATTGAACAATTAATATCACATGCAAGCAAGATTCTGCTGAAAAATATCTAAAAACGACTGAACAGCACATCAACAGAAAACTGTCAGAAGTGCAGACTGGATTTAGAAGGGGCCATGGTACTAGGAATATTACAGCTAATGCTCGATGGATCTTGGCTGAAAGCAGAGTACCAGAGGAATGTCTGTTTGACTATGTAAAGGCATTTGACTGTGTGGATCACAACTGTGGCTGACTCTGAGAATGGGAATCCCACTTGATCATGCTAATGTAAAACCTATACTTAGAGACCAGGAAGCAGTGGTCAGAACAGAGCTAGGAAACACTGTGTGGTTCAGAATGGGGAAGTGTGTATGCCAGGGATATGTCCTATTATCCACACCTTTTCAGATCTATATACCGATCACCTGGGATGCTGGGCTCTAGGAGAAATGTGGCATCACGATTGGAGGAAGACTCAGCAACAATCTGGTTATGCAGATGACACAACCCAGCTTGCTGAAACCTAGGAAGACCTGAAGCACTTGCTATGAAAGTCAATAACTGTAGCTTTAAATATGGATCTAAGCTCAACATCAAGAGCTCAGATTCTCACCACGGGGCCAACTGAAGGCATCATGATAGATGGTGAAGTTTTAGAGACTGTTAACAGCTTCAATTTGCTTGGATCCACAATCAACACTCTTGGTACTAGCAGCCAGGAAATCAAAAGACAAACTGCATTGGGTATGTCAGGAACCTCTCCAGAGTACTAAAGAAGTGTCAGCCTGCAGACTAAGGTGCTCCTTATCCAAGCCATAGTCTTTGAATTACTTGCTATGTGTCAGAAAGCTGGACGATGACTAGAGATGTGTTGACTACAGCTGTCTTTCTGGAGAAGAGTATTGAATATACTAAGGACTACCAGAACAAACAGGTTCACCCTGGAGAGGTTGACATCAGGCTGCTCCTTAGAGGCAAGGATTTTGAAGCTCATACTTTGGACATGTTGCAAGGAGGGACCAGTCCTTGGAGAGGGACATCATGCTTGGAAGAGTGGAAGGACACAGTGCAGTGCAAGAGAGGAAGACCCTAGAGGAGATGGATTGACTCAATGACTGGGGTTGACCCATTAAGGGGTGATTTAAAGATAAAAAGGTTGGTTAGCTCTGTATAGGGTCGCTGAGTCACAAGTGACTTGCCAGCACATAACAACTTTGAAGATGTCCCTAATTAGAAAGCACACCAATACTTACAAAATGTAACAAGTAAACTTTAATAAAAATTACACCACTCCTTTCTCCCTTAAGACATCCTTTTGAAAGTACATGAAGACTGTGCAGAAACAGAACCATCTGAAAGGAAGCATGGGTAATCCATGGCTCAAACAATGCTCCATTTCAAAGACTTAACTGGTTTTGATTTAACAATAATTTTCATTATTGCCTTTATAAATTGTTTCTGCAACTGAACATCTGAGATAAGCAAATTACTTGCTGCAACATTACATTTAGCACATTATTACCAATAAGCTGTTTTTAAAAAAAGACCCCAAAACCAACCCATGGAAGCGGGGGGGG